CCATCCAAAAATATAATAAATTAAATAATAAATTTCAAAATGAGGTTTTCTAGTCTAATCATGTTTGTGTATGCCTATGATCCAGGCACTGGAGGCTAACAGGAGGCAATACATGATTTAAAAACAAACAACAAACAAAACCCAAAGAACAAAAACAAGTTTTTTTCTATACAACCTCCAGCTGCCAAAGAGTAGTGGCATGAATGGTTCCCTAGATCTCTATCACCCTGAGCAGCCTTTGGAAGGAAAGGGGGTAGAGTTTGCACTAGGCTGCCTCGTACTATAGCATGCATGTAATGTAAGCTTACAATGTAAGCAAAGGAGAGTGTCCTTGACCAGAGTTTCTCAAGTTCATCCTTAATGACATTTTGAGCAGTATAATTTCATTGCTATGGGCATTTTAGAGTATTTAGCAATATCTCTGGCCTCGTCCAATAGATACAATTACACCCCAGCCTGGATTATGTTAATCCAATGATAAACTAACAACAAAAACTGTTCTACTGAGGAAAAATAGCAAACCCTCTTTCATATCCACAAAACTGTGTGCTTTTTTGGCTCAGTCCTTCCTCCAAAAGCTATTGCTTGGCAGCTAGTATCTGCCACTCAAGCTCTTTGTTCAGCAAACCCACACGCAGTCGTAGCCACAAGGCACACTTGAAATCTAACTCCACTCTCCACCTAATGCTTTTTCTTCACTAAGCAGGTGGCTCAAGGTGGCAGTTTCCATTACATCAATTCCTGGACTTCCTTCATAGCACCAATGAGAAATTAGGGAATGGAAAGTGTGTCATAGATTAATGGTCTCTCCCTCTAGACCAGTGGTTCTCAACATGTGGTTGCCACCTCTTTGGGGATCAAACAGTCATTTCACAGGAGTCACATATCAGATATCCTGCATATCAGATATTTAGATTATGATTCATAACATAACAAAATTACCATTATTAAATAGCAATGAAATAATTTTTTGGTTGGGAGTTACCACAACATGAAGAATTGTATTGGGTCTTAGCATTAGGAAGGTTGAGAACCACTACTCTAGACTGAATGCTTCCCCACTGCCAACAGTTACTTTTCCTTTTGACTTCATCAGTGCTCCATTGTCAGGGAGATCATCCCAGGATGCCCAATCCCTACCCTTAGAGTCTGAGTTCCTTTGTTGTGTCTCTGTGGACCTGGAGACCATTTCTTTTATGCACTTGTCTCAGTGTGTAATAGTGTGTCCAGTAGCATCGTTGATTAAAGTATAATTAATATCTCACCAACCAGACAGTAACTTCTTGAGGACAGGGGTGATTTTTTTTTAAAGCAGAAGTATTCCTAGTGCCTAATATAAGAGCACAAGCATTCATTTAATGTACACGATATGAGCCAGCTCAAACCAATCTCAGGCAGAATCTGCCACTTTCCCCCAGATTGACTTGTTCCTTCCTTTTGTGGCACTCACTTTAACAACAACAAACCAATGAAACGTCTGTTTTTAAAAATGAATACAGATACAGAAAGTACCATAGAATAAGTGTGTGGTGTGATGAATTATTTCAGGAAATAAGCTGCAAGGTTTTGCATTTGTAGTTCAAAGGTGGGGGAGGGACTGAGATGGATTGTTCTTTTGGGGTATTGGAGAAGAGCTCAGGCCCACATGCCCAGTGGCGGCCCCTTCTATTCTTTCAATAGCAAGGGGACTGGGAAGGAAATTGAAAAGTTTCCCTTTTAGGCCATGGTTGGCTGTTACTGGGAGTAATCAGAGAGTGATAAGTTCAGGTGATGGAAAAACATCTACCTTGATGGGTCATGTCTGGGGGAATCTTTAAGAATGGGGGGTTAAGAATCTAGAGAAACAAGTTTACTTTAGTTCTGGAAACCAAATTACTATAGATGCTGTCATTGTCACAGTTCAACAAAAATGGAGGTGGCCTGACAACAACCAGCAAGTCAAGCAATAGAACTTTGTTGCCTCAGAAGCCCATCCAGTGTTTGCCCCACCCAAGTTAGCACCCATGAGTAACCACTTCTAGGCCTGGAGAGACACTAAGCAGTGAATGCTCACTGCTCTTGCAGAGGCTCTGAGTTCCATTCCCAGTTCCCACATTAAGCAGCTCCCAGCTGTCTCTAGCTCCAATGCCAACTGCAGAGGATCTCATGCCATTTTCTGGTTTCTATGAGCACCTGTACTCGCACATGTATGTATCCCCTAGCCCCACAAACACATGCACATTATTCAAAACAATATTCTTTACAAAAAACCTTTATTGAATAAAGTAATAGAAGAACTAGTTCCATGCCAGTGTCATCAAGGGGTAATCCCAGAGCAACAGACCCTAAAGCCTAAAACTGCCCCAGATCCCAAACAAAAGTTTAGAATTCTGAATTCTGAACTGGGGAGATAACACAGTCAGTAAAGGGCCTGCCCCACAACCATGAAGTTCCGAGTTCAGTCTCCAGCGTCTTTGTAAACAGATGGGTTGCTTGCCTTTGTAATCCCAAGGATGGAAGGGCAGGAGGCTCCCTGGAGCTTATGAGTCAGCAATCATACCCTAATGGGTAAGTTCTAGAAGCCAGTAAGAAACTCTGTCTTAAAATGAGATGGATAGTTTCTGAATAATGACACTGAGTTGACCTCTCCACATGCATATACACACAAGTGCACACGAGAACACACATACTCACACGATATAGAAAACCTCCACACTGAGATTCTTGTTGTAAAGAAGGATATGTCAAGAGAGTAGAAAGCTTATCTCCAGAGAAGGGAATTGATGCATTGTTTGATGGTACTCAACATATTGGACACCTAGAAACCTGAGAAAGCAGTGTTTCCATGTGTCAGAGGGTGCTTCCCAAAGAAACTAGTGTGTGAGTCTGCATGGGATGAGGAGAAAGTCCTGCATGTAGACAGTGCAGGTGAATGTGTTCTCCAAAAACACATGACCAAAAGAAAACAGATGCATGCTAATCTAAGCAAAGACAACAGTCTACCCTATAGGTAATGATGCAAGTCTCCAGTTCCTCTGACTGCCTTCATGCAGTTGTCCATAATCCAGCCCCACAATGAACATTTTTGTATGTTGGATTTTTTTGTAGTTGTTTTTGTTCTCATTTCATTTTTGTGGGAAGTTGAACCCAGGTCCCTGTGGGTGCTAAACATGCACTCTGCCACTGAACTATGCTCATCTCTTCCAGCCATTTTAAATTGTTAGTATTGTTTTCTATAATTCATTATACTATATATTCCATCTTTGCATCATCTCCAATTCATTATGCTATAGATTTCATATTTGCATCATTTCCAATTCTAGGGATATAGATGGTATACAGGCATTTTCATTTTGTGCATTCAATGAAATTTGGTGCCATTATCCCAACATTGAATTTGTGTGTAACTATTGTGCTGATATGTTGAATATTCCTCAATAAATGAAAAGATGTATTTGCGAAAGATAAAAATTTCTCCATATCTCAGCTCCTTGGGTGACCCTTAGAGGGATTTTTTTTTGTCTGATGGTTTTGTTATGTTTTGGTTTTTTATCTCATCAAGAGTTAGCTTGGAGGCTGGAGAGATAGTTCAGACACTGAGAGCACTAGTTGCTCTTCTAGAGGACCTGGGTTTGATTCTCAGCACCCACATAGAACTCACAACCATCTGTAACTCCAGTTCAAGGTATATGACACCCTCTTCTAACCTCTGGCACCAGGCATGTACATGGTGCACAGATATACATGCATGCAAAAATACATATACAAATATAAAATAAAAGAAAATCAGTTTTTCCAAAGTTACCTTTTTAGAATTTTGAAATTTTAGATCTTTCAGAGTTTCAGCATTCAAAATTATGGAGTTCAGGATTGTGCATTTCAGTTTTATTGTCCAAACTCCTTTTTGTGTAATTTATTTGGGGGAGGGAGTTTTTTCATAAAATATAACTTTCTTTAAATGTGTTCTTATTATGTAGCCCTTGCTGGCTTACAATCATAGAGATCCACCTGCCTTGGTCTCTCAAGTGCTATGATTGAAGGCATTTGCCACCACATCAGACCCCAATGTACACCCTTAAATACAACTTACACCTTATCCATTTGCAAAATTTAGTATGTCTTAGGGCTGTACAGTTGGCAAAGCAGTTTAGAGCACAGGCTGCTATTCCAAAGGACCTGGATTCAAGTCCCAGTACACACATGGCAGCTCACAACCATCTGTAACCCTAGTCCCAGGAGATCTGATGCCTCTTCTGACCTCTGCCTGCATTAGGCACCAGGCACACACACACATGTGCATAAAATAACAAAATGACTTTTTAATTAAGTATATCTTTACCCTTTTCTTTGCCTTGAGATTTATCTATTGAAGAGCCCTGAGCAGTTCCATTGTAGAATTTCCCTGTCTAGGTCTGGGTGATTTGATTATATATCCCCCAAGTCTCACCCTTTATCCTCTGCATTTTTTGCAGATAGGCAACTGCATTCAGAGACTCCAGTCAGGATCAGTCCTCTGGCAGGATTATAGGTCAGCATCATATAGGTAGGCAGTCACTCACACACAGTACCCATGTCAGTTCATGGGATGTAGCTCAAAGTGATATAGAAATTTTTATCTTTTTTGTTCCATATTTGTGGCATTTTTATAAACAATTCTCCACCCTATTTCTAGTTATTCATGTCACTGACAAAACAGGTGGTCAGGATAAATGACCAGTCTTCATTTACCAAGGATTGTGACCTTTCTGCCTTTAAAAATTATTTCAAGTATGTGGATTTAAACTTAACAAATGCCTTTCCATCCCCTGCAGTCATTAACATCATTGTGGCACTGCCTTTGGAGCAGCCTCATTGTCCAGGCAACACATTCTGTTAAGTGTGGAATTCAATGACAGCATGGAGACTGGGAGAGTGGAACTACCCTGGTGCCAGTCCTTGTGACAGGAGAAAGCCTCTCTCAGTGAAGTCAGTTGCTGCTGCCTCTCCCAGCTGCTTCTCTGTGACCCTCCTTTCCTCCTCAGGTTTGGTCGGAAGAATGTGCTGTTTTTGACCATGGCCATGCAGACTGGCTTCAGCTTCCTGCAGGTCTTCTCTGTGAACTTCGAGATGTTTACTGTGCTCTTTGTCCTTGTTGGCATGGGTCAGATCTCCAACTACGTGGCAGCATTTGTCCTGGGTATGGACATCAGGTTGGAGTTGAGTACTTGATCCTGTGTTTCACTTTACTGAAGACAAGTTATGATGTCTGTCAGGGAAAATGGGCTAGATTACCCTAGTAAATAAACCTAGCTTAGCAGCTGGAAAATTAAACCTGGCAATGGTTCCTGACTTCTGATGTCCAGTTCTCTTCTGGCCTCTGACTGGTGGCCCCTTGGCTTCACTAGTAATTAAGCCATTAACTAGGATTCACCATGGAGTATCTATTTTTAAGTCAAGGGCTTAGGTACCTGAGGAAAGAGGGGGGCACACCAAGGGGATGCGGTATGATGTGCAGGCTCCCCAGGAAAGGGAGCTGATGCAGAGCATTGGTGGCTATCAGTGTCCACCAAGGTGAGTGAGCAGAGTGGTCCAGTTCAGGTTCTGGTCAGACTCCACCCTTCAAGGCTCTGCCTCAGACAAGCCACCTTGTTCCCACCAGAAAGCTTCCAGTCTCCCTGTTTGGAATCAGATCACTGGGCTCCTTGAGTTATATTATGGAAAGGGTTATTTTCTTTTCACATTTACTAGAACATATGTCCTCGAAGGACAATAGTTGGCATGTGCGGCCATAGTAAAGACTTTGCCTTTGATAAATTGTATCCCATGTAAGGACTTACAGGACCTAACACTCTTTAGCCTGTGGCTGAAGATGCTGATGATGTTTTCATGAGAGCACTGTTACCTAGGGACCTAGGAGAAACAACCCAGGAGCAAAGCAAAGCAGACTTAGTTCAGATGTGACCCCTCCAGGGCCTCAAATCACAGCAAGTTCTGGCTCCCTCCTTGTCTTTATGTTGAAAATAATACCACAGAAGATTCATAAGGAAATAGCCTTAAGCTTGACCACCACCACCCCTTTTTTTTAACAGGAACAGAAATTCTTTCCAAGTCAATTCGAATTATATTCGCCACCTTAGGAGTGTGCATATTTTATGCATTTGGCTTCATGGTGCTGCCACTGTTTGCATACTTCATCAGAGATTGGAGGATGCTGCTGCTGGCACTCACTGTGCCAGGGGTGCTGTGTGGAGCTCTCTGGTGGTGAGTGTGGCCCAGCCCCTTGGGCTGCCTACCTGTGGGGTGGCTTCTGTCTCATGTCCAGTAGAGGGCAGCAGTAGCTCCCCAAATCCCCATCCTAGATCCCAGAAAAAGGTAGTGGATATTATTTATAAATCAAGTCAGAAAGTCTCTCCATATTCAGAAAAGCCAAAACAACACAGAATCCCAAGACACAGCCTGCTTGTCCTCTGCCAGGTTCTAGGTTGAACTAAGAATTTGCTGCAAGCAGATAGGGGCCAACCTGGGAAATTCTGGGAAATTCTCAAATCCCGGGGTAAGACAGCAAGACCTGGGCTGTAGCTGCTTGATGCTGAGGCACAATGCCATGGTGTTAGAAGGTAAAGAGAGGGGGAGTTCCAGAAGTGAGCTTCCTTGAGTAGCTATTCAGAGGAATGCAGGCTCCAGCTGCACCTCCAAGAGAGGAGCATTGGGCAGGTAGAGCATAGGCCATTCTAAGCCATGGAACTTGACAGAGGAACCAGGCAAGAATCACTCCTTACAATAGACTAGACTAAGGTGAGATCCTCATCCATGCACAGTGGCAAGAACCCTGGAGAATAATGGGAGAAGTTACAATGCATTGTGGCTCCTGATTAGGACAGAGGAGAGAGGGCTGCTTGGTCACAAGGATAATGAAAATATCCACTGAAACTCCACAAATCAAGTCTCCAGCCTTGAGAACTATGCTGTTTTGTGTAAAGAGACTGATGAGTCTGTGACTAAATCAGAGGAGTGAGGAAGAAATGATGTTAAGTGATGCTCCAGGCATTTCTGAGGGACAGGGTAAAGACAGCAAGATCTGGGTGTGTCTCACTGTCAGCAGGAGCCAGGCACCAGGAGCCCATCTTGTGCTTGTCTCCTTAATGCCCAGAAGGGGGCACCACTACTGCAGACAGGCAGGTGCCAGCCAGATGGGGATCCCCTAGTGATGTACAAGATGCTCCAACTTTTTCTCACTGCAGTTGGTGTTCAGCATCATCATACCTCAGGTGGTTACTGGGCCATGAACACCTTATGAACACCTGACACTCTGCACACATCTACCCCTGCATCTGAAACCTCATCTCCCATCTGCAGATTAGCATGCCCAGCCTCTGGGAGAGTAAATGAACAGGAGGCCTCACTAGATTGCACTTGTACTTCCAGGTTTATTCCTGAATCCCCCCGATGGCTCATCTCTCAAGGCCGAATTAGAGAGGCAGAGGTGATCATCCGCAGAGCTGCCAAAACCAATGGGATTGTTGCACCTTCCACTATCTTTGATCTAAATGAGGTAAGTACCATGTGGAAGCTGGTGGAAAGCTCACACTGATCGTTTTAGGTCAGGGGCATATAGCACAGCTCACAGGAATCCAGCCCTTACTCTACCCAAATCCCAGCCATCCTTAGGCAAGGTCTGATTACAATGCAGAAGTTAAAGGAATGGAGAGATGATTCAATGTATAAAGTGTTTAGCACGCAAGCATGAGGACCTCAGTTCAGGTGCCAACAGCCAACCAAAAAGCCAGGCATGGCAGAGTGTGCCCCTTATCCCAGCACTGGGGCAGCAGGGACAGAAGGATCCCTGGGATTTATTGTCCAGCCAGCTAACCAGTCAATGAGGGATCCTGTCCCCAATATAAAGTAGAAAAGTGATTGAAGATGATATCCTTGGTCAACCTCTACCCTACATATATACACATTCCTATGGTGTATACACCCATGAACAGGAATACCCTCATACCTCAGAGGATGTGGAATGTGTTCCAACTACTTATTCTCTCCCATGATTTTGTTTTTCTTTTTCCTTTTTCTTTTGGTTTTTGAGACAGGGTATCTCAGTAGCTTTGGAACTCACTCTGTAGACCAAGCTTGAACTCATAGAGATCCTCCTGTCTCTGCCTGTCAAGTGCTGGGATCAAAGGTGCACCACCACTGTCCAACTTCTAACATATTTTTAAGCATTCCTTTTTTTTTTTTTTTTTGGTAGGAGTCTCACTATATATAACCATAGCTGGTCTGGAAATCTCTGTGTAACTCAGACTCACAAAGATCTGTCTCTGCCTCCCAAGGTCTGAGATTAAAGGGACATGCCACCATGCCTGGCTTAATTATTACTTTTAATAGCAAAGACCCTTCATGGGAAATAGGCTTTTATCAACTTCAGCATTTTTGGAAGTCATTGTTTGTTATGCCTCAGGGATTATCATCTGAAGACTATTGGAACACTAGTAGATTTGCACTCAGCAGGGTTCTGTTTCTTTTCACTCTCAGTTAGTTATTATCCATCATCCTGGAACCAGATTCTTTCTGATAGCCACCTCTTCCCTGTTCTTAGGTACTCCCAGTAATTTCTTGGTTTTGTGTGGGTCCTGGTTCTTGTTTCCTGTTCCTTTTCCTCCCTTCTTCAGTAGCAGGCTGTTTTCTTCAGATTCATGAGGTTAGACACTACAGGTGTTAGCAGACATGGATCTTGAGTATGTGTCTGATTTGAGAAGACAAGGGACTGACTTAAGGACAAATGCCCGCAGCCATGCTCAGCTGTGAGCAGAAGGCATGTTAGATGCTCTGAGTTCATGATGATGACTTGGGGCTTGTGAGAGAGGAAGCAGTTGTTATAAGTAGTTGAGAAGCTGTTGGCCACCAACAACCCTGCTGGCATCTCCCTTAAGTGGTGGCCCAGCAGCAGCAGTCCCTCGGCATACTCTAGAAGAACTCTGAAGCACAGAAGTCAGGGCTGGAATGTGACTGTGGGCATTTTAAGTGAGGTGGCTTTGGTGGAATTTAAGTAAGGGGTCGGTCTGGGTGAACATATAAGCCTCATTGCCATCACTGAGGAAATGAAGGTGTTTCAGGATTTCTTTGAGTCCCAGATTGACCTTTTGCCCAACTGATTGGTTAAAAACAAGCTCCTAAGCTGGGTTAGCTAAGAAAGAGCATTGGTGTGTTTAGACATGTGGTTTAGTGATGGCCTTGGCCCTGTGGAATCTCATAGGAAGTTACTCTGGGTGAAGGACGGGTCAGTTTTCCTGTTTTCAACTGAATATTTTTCTCCTGGAAGTAGACCAATAATAACACAGTATGAGGACTCAAAACATTCATTCCACTTAAATATCAGTTTAGCAAAAATACACAGTCATTTTTTTTCCTCTGACCAAGAGGGCAGGCATCAACCTGACATAGGAAACCTCAAAGGCTTCCCTGAAAAGTGCAGTGAGGATAGGTAGGGTAATGCAGTGAGGTCGCTGTCACTGTCTGTCACCTAGACCTTTGCTGTGCTCCTTTCTTTTTCAAAATCTCACTTGATTTTACTTCTGTTTGTCATTGACTGAGCCTGCAGGAGAGCTTGGTTATCAAAAGTCACTGTACTTCTGTCTTTTCAAGGAAGAACCTTAGAATGCTTTCTTAACTTTTGAGAAGTAGATAGTGAAAATGATGGGTTCCAGATGGTCTCCAAGTTTTCTCCTTCCTATACCATTAACTATATTATTCCTGCAGTTACAAGACCTAAATTCCAAGAAGCCTCAGTTACACCACATTTATGATCTGATCCGAACCCGGAATATCAGGATCCTCACCATCATGTCTATAATCCTGTGGTGCGTAAGTGAGACCTGCCTGAGCCTTACCCACCCTCAGGACATTTTCTACAGACATTGCCTCAGACCAAAGCTGAAAACCTCTGCCATCACATGCTGCAAGGGTTGTTCCTTGTGATGGATGGCAGCCACAGGGACATAACAGCTCTGATGTAATGGAAACCCAGAAAAGGAGAAAGTGACCAAAGAGGCTGTTTAGGATCTAGGGACCCACAAGGGAATCCAACAGGTCCTTGCTTAGTTGTTCCTGTCCCTTGTCCTCTCCCTCAGTAGATTATCTGTGGTAAATAGCCTGACAGAAACTCTAATGTGCTCATGGAGATAGAGGGAGCTCCTCTGCAGTGGTGCCACTGTGTCTATCATTTGCACATGCCCCCTGCACCCACCCCCCATGACTGGCTGTTTCCTCTTGAAAGTGTTCTCTGTTGAAGACCCACACTCTCTGGCTGGGACAGTGGGGGTTTGAAGGAGGGTCTCAGGGAAGACACTTTATCATTTAGGTTCCAGACACTGCTAAGAGCTTTCTGGAAACATTAAAGTAGAATATGGCCCTTCTGGGATATTCATAGACTGCCCTAAAGTCAAGGCCATAACCTGGATGTTTCCTCCAGGTTTTCTCCTACAAGGTGTTGCAGTTATCAGGAAGGAATCTCTGAGTTACCAAGGAAAAGGACCAAGGTTGAATGCCTGCATAGCTTCTGCCATACCCTTGGGATATCAGAGATCCTTGACTCCTCTGGATGAATGTGAGAAGATGGTGAGAAGGGTAGACTTCACCTCAAAGTCCTTGCTAAAAGACTCAGCCAGCTTTGGAGCAGTAAGCTAGTCTGCTTCCTGGTTTGGGGTAGGGTTTGTCTGTGAGTCACCCATTTCCAAGGAATTTTCCATTTCCAAGGAATTGTCCAGGATGCCTTAAAGGCAGTGGGGCATACCTGAATCTGCCTCAAGAGAGAGCGAGCATGGAGACTGTACCTCAGACTTCTAGCCTGAGACATCTCACTCTGAATCATCCACACCTAATCATGCTCTGGAGTTTCCTGGGGCTTGTGAGCCTACTCTCTTCCTTCACCATGCCAACTGTGTTTTCAACCTGTACATGAGTCAAAGACAGTCTGGTGCCAAAGAGTACAGCTCATCAACAGAGAAACCTATTAGGATCAGAGCCAGGAGTGGGAGTGGTGAATGAGAAACAGTGAGGCCTCACCATTGGGAGCGCCTATTGCAGAGCACAGTGGGGTTGCTGTCAGCCTCTTCCTGGCTGATTACACATAGTTTAATGAGGGTCCTTCTGCAAATGTTTGAGCTGTATTTTGCCTTAAACCACCACTTCTGTCACATCTTACCCAGCCCATTACTCATTCTCTAGCTCCTCTTACATTTGCTGTGTTTGGATAAACGTACAGAGCAAGGAATTGGGTTTTAGCAAATGTTTCAGAGTAGGATTTCAATGTTGAAATGCAGGTTGGGTCCTTCCCCCAGTGATGAAATCTATGTGAACCATGTAAGCTGTTTTGATGAGATACTTTTTTATGGAATGTTCTGAAGGTATACTGACAAAGGATTTAAACTGGTGACTGGAGCTGTGGAAAGTTAACTTTTATAGTAGGAAGTAAGGCACAGAGTGGAATCTACTACTACTCTCCCATTCCCTGCATTGAGAGCAATTCAGAACTTGTCAAGATGAATTTTTTCAAGGTGTGTGGGTCTGGAGAAATGGGTACTGCTTCTCCATCTCTCTTCTGTCCCCTGTTGCAGGCTGACCATATCAGTGGGCTATTTTGGACTTTCTCTTGATACTCCTAACTTGCATGGGGACATCTATGTGAACAGCTTCCTTTCAGCGGCTGTTGAAGTCCCAGCCTATGTGTTGGCCTGGCTGTTGCTGCAGCACTTGCCCCGGAGATATTCCATCTCTGCTGCCCTCTTCCTGGGTGGCAGTGTACTTCTCTTCTTGCAGCTGGTGCCTTCAGGTATGGACGATGTTTATTTGCAGACCTATTTTCTTCACTGTGTTACTGCCTTGAACCAGACTGTTTACAAAGAGAACACAGTCAGGCCCATCTGTGCTGGCATGTGTGCACTGCCTGTCTTAAAAATCAGGAGATCATGTCTCTCAAAAAACAGGGGTGGGAGTGGGGGGGAGGTCTTCATAGCCTGGGCTTTGTAAGGGTGAAGAAAGCATTGAGCTTGTTGGTTAACTATGCCCTTGACCCAAGTTAACCCATGTTCATATGTGGTTTCCTCTATAGAATAAAGAGGAAGAAGGAGAGTCATTCCCCCACGAGTTCTGTCTTATTTATTTATTTGAGCAATAGCTTAAGTGGGTCTTGATGGAGTCTCTTTCTGTTGCAGAAGAGCCAGACAGTGGTGGTGCATGCCCTTAATTCCAGCACTTGGGAGGTAAAGGCAGGCGGATCTCTGAGTTTGAGGACAGTTTGGTCTACAGAGCTAGTTCCAGGACAGCTAGGGTTGTTACACAAAGAAACCCTGTCTTGAAACCCAAAGAGAGAGAGAGAGAGAGAGAGAGAGAGAGAGAGAGAGAGAAGAAACAAGTTAATAAATGCTTGTTAATCTTCAGATGTTGTTACCTTCTGTGAACAGAAAGAAAGGATATTAGAGCTCATCTAAAGAGCAGTCATGATAGCATCCTGAACAGAGGTATTCAGCAGAATTTAGATGAGGAACAGAACACCATGAATAAGTCAGGGAGAGCTGGACAGTGGTAGCACAGGCCTTTAATCCCAGCACTTGGGAGGTGGATGCAGGAGTATGAGATGTTCAAGCTCATCTTTGGCTGTCTGGGGAGTCTGAGGCCAACCTATGTTATATGAGACCCTATTTAAAAATAGATAGATAGATAGATAGATAGATAGATAGATAGATAGATAGATAGATACAAGACAATGGCAGGTAGTGAGCCCAGTGTGCTTCAGGGTAGCAAATGAACTAGTAACCCATAAAAAGAAAGAGATGAACAGTCTCAGAGGCTATGGGAAGGACTTTGCTGGTAAAACCATCCCACTACTAGACAGGAGGAACCCTTTCTGACAACCTGTGGAACAGATGACAAGCCTTATTTGTCTATCACTTGCCATAATCATCCATTCCCCTGTGGCTTTTGGAATGTCTGATGGTTACTTTGAGGACTGTGATACTGGGACCCCCCTTTACAGGAACAGCCCCTTTTGTGGCAGAAGGAACCTGGGTGTGGCTGTAGTGGCTCTCACCTGAGTAGAGTGACCACTGTGTCACTAGTTATACTCATTGGGCAGTGAAGTCAGTAAGAGGATCATCCCTAAGTTCAGATGGTTTATAGAATTTTTTTCAATACTGTACTTATTTATTTGGAGGAGGGAAACATGTGTCCCAGCACACATGTATCGGCCAGAGGATGGCCAGAGGACAGTGTGCAGGAAGTGGGAAGAGTCAGTTTTCTCCTTCCACTATGTGGGTCCTGGGAATCAAACTCAAGTTCTCAGGCTTGACTGAAAGTGCCCTTACCCACTGAGCCACCTCAAAAGCCCAGATCTGTGAACTTCTTGAATAGACTGCAAGCATGAACTGAGCTAGAGCTGAACTCCCCCATTCATATACAAGTCCTTGGTTAACTCCACAGTGCCCTCAGGATGAGGTTCTGGGCAAGCAGCTCATCCCTAACCCAGGATGACTTCTGGAAGGCAGGCAGATCGGGCTGAGGTTCACATACTGTCTGGGCCTCTAGGTTGAGGAATACCTTTACCCTCACACAACTGAAGTGCCCACTCTCCTTTTAGTAATCCCCTTAGAAAGAAATCTAAGCCATGGTGTTTTGGTTCAATAGGAAGGTATACAAACTGACCGACTCTCTCTACCCCAAATCTGAGTTCATTTTAGGCTGAAAGTCAAGAGAACTCCTCCAGAGCAACCCTTACACTGGTCCCTCTTGCCTTTTCTATCCTTCCTTTGTTTCTCCAGAATTGTTTTATATGTCTACTACCCTGGTGATGGTAGGCAAGTTTGGAATCACCTCTGCCTATTCCATGGTCTACGTGTACACGGCTGAGCTGTACCCCACTGTGGTGAGAAACATGGGTGTAGGGGTCAGCTCCACAGCATCCCGCCTTGGCAGTATCCTGTCTCCCTACTTTGTTTACCTTGGTGAGTACCACAGTGCACTGGTGGAATGGATGGGACAGAAGCTCTAAATAGCCTCAATATGAGATGGACACAAGCCCTATAGTTAGCAGGATGCATCCCTTACTGGGACCTTGGCTGGAGAAGAAGGCACCCATTTCAAATGGAAAGTAACTCACAGCCCAGCTGGATGAGGATGAGAAAGTGTGAGGCTTTCTATTTCATCACAAACTACAATTTCTTCATCCTAAGAAATTCTTTAGGGAAACAGTGTTCTTTACTAGAGGAGTTTCTTCTTGGAGTTAGTAGCATGAACAAGAGGTCTGACTGATGGACTGACAGTGACCATGGCGTAGAACACTTCATTTATCCAGTGTATATATAGAAGTCAGAGGACAATTTAGGGGAGTCTTAAAATTCGTTCTTTCTTTACAACATTGGATTCTGGGGATTGAACTCAGGCCACCAGGCATAGCAGCAAGCACTTTTACAAGCTGAGCCATCTCCATAGCCCCCATTTTACTTTTCAAGACAGTGGCTCACTAAGTATGAACTGGGATTGAACTTGTTCTGTAGCCCCAGAAGCCCTTGAACTTTAGCAGCCAGTGCCCTGAGAGTAGCAAGTACTTGAAAGCATGGTACGTGGCTCTAATGGGCTGCAGCACCTTGTCTAACCAGAATGCAAATCAAACTGGGACACAGCTGAAGAGATGGAGAGTTGCTTTGTCCTGGACAAGGACCTTGTTTTCTTGGGAACCCTGCAGCTTGGTGTCTCTACTCCCCTATACATTTCCCTTATCCATTGTGGACACTGCTGGACCTCTGGGCACATCTGTGCCAGGTCTAGGTTCTGAGACCCTTTAGATGCCAGACTTCACTCTAGCTGCCCAGGCTTTGGGAAACACTGAGACCAACAGGAAGGTGAGTCCATTATAGAGTCCTGAAGAAATACAGGGCCAGAATGAAACCATATCTCACTGTAACCTGGGTCCTCTGTTTGACTGCAGGTGCCTATGACCGCTACCTGCCTTACATCCTCATGGGAAGTCTGACCATCCTGACAGCTATCCTTACCTTGTTCTTCCCAGAGAGCTTTGGTGTCCCTCTCCCAGACACCATTGACCAGATGCTAAGGATCAAAGGGTAAGACACCTTCCTCCTAACACTAGGGGTGCACTGAATCTGGGCCTGGCCAGGTCTTAGGGATCTGCACACTGTCTCACAAATAAGTGGACTACTTTAACCATGGTGCTATGAGGGCATTGGCCTGATCTGTGTAAATCAGTGACCATGTGCATGGCCATGAAAGCAGCAGCTCTAGTTTACTGCAAAGACTACAGCAAACTTCAGTATCTGCCATTTCCTTGTTTTTCTCCAGATCTGGCTTGTTTTGACACTGATAGGTATCTTTGTACAATTTGTAAGTAACATTGTTTTGCTTGTTTTAATAGAATAAAACAATGGCAAAGCCAAAACCAGACAAGGATGCTAAAGGATGGTGAAGAAAGCCCAACAGTCCTAAAAAGCACAGCCTTTTAACCCTCCAGGAGATGAAAAACAGACAACCTGCATGTTGTCAGAAACACTGTCAATGACCAGGGGCTTTTCTGTTCTGTTGACCTTGTGTTTAATGTGCTCGTGGATGGGTGCATCTGTCCTGGAGAGCCACCTTCCTCTAGGGACATCAAGACTAACCACAGACAGCTTGCACATCCATTCCAGTGGTGGCCTTGGCCCTTCCAAAAAAGTTTCTTAAACCAGTGGGACTTGGAAGACTATGTGAAACAACTGCTAGTCTTGCTTTGTTATTTTAGAAGACTGGTAAGGTTGCACAGATAGAACTGCAGGTCTGTTTTTCCCTCCTCTCCGTAACTGCAAACTCTCAGGAAATGGAATAGATGTCACTCAGTGGCAGTGTGCTTGGCTAGGATACACAGGGCCCTGAGTTCCATGCAAAGAACCAGAAAGAAACAAAACTTCTTCAGAGAAGAATAAATGATTCCATGGGGAGTTTGATTTCTCATCTTTTCTAAGTTACAAAAACCCTTGCTGTGATTGCTTTAACTCACAACAGAAGACCACAGGACCTAGGGAACCATAGAGGAAATGAAGGTGGAAGGAGATATGTAAAGTCAGCAGTGTGTGGATTGTGGCTGCTCAGTCCCACAGCAGGAGTGCTGTGTGTGTCTGGTCAGACTCCTGGGCTTGTCCCGACTGTGAGAAATCACTGTTGACGCCAAGGCTTGTCTTCCACTTCTGTGTCTTGAAGGGAATGTATGAGTGACAAAGTGTCCCTTCCTTCTCTCAGCACTGTCACAGGGGTTTGTTTTTTTTTGTCATCTGTTGTATCTTCAGCAGAGACTTGGGAACAGTGTTTCTCAACCTGGAATTACCCTGGCTGGTGTGCAGTTGCCACCATGGAAATGCAGTTGCACTTCCTAGCCTTAGCCATTATCACTGCTCTGAGTGTCCAAAACAACAACACTATGCTTGTTCCTTTTACAATGTATAATCATGGGGAAAATTACAAGAAAGAAATGTAAATTGTGTTCACAGTCTCTCAGAGTTGCTGGCTGCAGTTTTGTAACATCAGCAGGTGTTTTGTGTTCAGTGTGATTGTCTGCTCTTCTGATTATGTTGCCATGGTACTCCTAAAGCACATGATTCCCCTACTTTAAAAAAGAATGTATTTTGTGAAAGCTACTGAAGTGCCTTGGGCAATGAGATGGTTTTAATAAACAATGATTTTTTTAAATAATAACAAGTGACTGCAATCTCTTTTCTTAGTATTTGATGAGCCCTTGCCATGCTAGCATGTAACTCTTCTCTCAGCTAAGTGTAGCCGTGATTTGGGGTTCAGATTTAACTAGTACTATACTATATAGTAGGCATCTACCCAATTGACCATGAATTGCACCAGCCTGGGTCTCCCTGAAAACAGCCTGAGCTTGGAGCTTCTGTACAGTTTCACATTCTATCTGGGAATACAACACCAAGGAGCAGGAATGCAGACCAGGGAAGGTGGGAGGCCTGGCCCTAGGATGCCTTAGTGGGTGCGTTGGGCAGCACTCATGAAGGAGTACTGCAATGGCCTGAGTCTCTGAGGAAGCCTGGGAGATGCATCTCAAAACCATCTGAACCATGGAGAAAAGTGGGGAGCATTTGCCATCATCACCCATTCAAAAAGACAACACCAGGGTGTCCCCTACACTTCCAGCTTACTCAGGCAAGAGTCACACACAGGTTCTGTCTCTTGGATAGAAAGCAGGAAGCTATACACTGCAGACCCAAGTGAGGCCCTTCAGGCTGCACCTCATCAAAGCTGGCCAGAGTCTGTGTGAACTAGTCCTCGGAGCTACTGAGTAAGTGGCAGAGCAGAGAGCATTGACCTGGGGTGGTGTACAAGACACAAACGTTGATGATGAACAGTATTTCACAAGGTCATCTGTGCTGCAAAGTACGAATGGACCTAAGTCCAAAGCTCAGCTGTTGGTTGGACAATTGAAGGGCATGTCACAGGACCAGCAGGGACCTCTGGCTCAGGCATAATACAGAGCAGCTTATCTGGAAGATTCAAATGGTTTCCCTCCTCTCAACCCATGTCCTGATCTGGGTTCCTGGTGACATGCCTTCTCAGGAGCCCCAGATTATAATTGCAGTTCTCCCCACCATTTCTCCTGCTATGAGTGAGCAGTTCCTACACTGGCTTTCATTCTTGGTGTCTGGTTCCAGACATCCATGGCCTCTTGAAGCAAACACTGTACTGCCCGAATACCTTAAGCTCTATGTGTGTTGCAGGGGAGGGGTTGAGAGGGGGGACAGGACGACAATGACATGACAGCCCCTTCTGAAAACCCTTACCCTCTGCACAATACTGCTGTACTTATATAGCCTGTTTCCATTGAAGTGATGATTTCAGGAGGACGGTCTTCAGGAGAGAGGTATGTGAGTGACAAAGCTATGAATGCCTGGGATCATCAGGAGCTGGCATACACATAGACATGAGGAATGAGAAAAGATGGAGAAGAAAATCTTTAAAAGACCACAATCTCTCCACAATTCAAGGTGAAGGCAAGGATCCCAGTATGGTGGTGCACATCTGTTATTCCAGAATTTAGGATACTGAGACAGGATCATAGGTTCAATCTGATCTCCTTCTGGACTCCACAGGCAACAGGCATATTTGTGGTGCACATGCATGCATGCAGACAAATACTCGTATATGCCAAATTATTATTTTTTTTGTTTTGGGTTTGGGGTTTTTTGGTGGTTTGGGGGGAATTGGGGATTTTTCTTTTCTTTTCTTTTTTCTTTTTTTGTCCAGACAGGGTTTCTCTGTGTAACAGTCTTGGTTGTCCTGGAACTTGCTCTATATAGTTCAGGCTGGCCTGGAACTCACAGAGATCCACATGCCTCTGCTTCCTAAGTGCTGAGATTAAAGTCAGGAGCCACCATTGCCTGGCTCTTTATGTTATTATTGTTGTTGTTTGAGGCAGGGTCTCTCTATATAGTTGCAGCCATCCTGGAACTCACTATATAAACCAGGCTGGTCTTGAACTCACAGAGATCTGCCTGCCTCTGCCTCCCTAGTGCTGAGATTAAAGGTATGAGCCACTATGACCATCCCAAAAATTAAGTTTAATGAAACAACATTTAGAAGATAAATCAGGGGCTGGAGAGATGGCTCAGAGGTTAAAAGCACTGACTGCTCTTCCAGAGGTCCTGAGTTCAATTCCCAGCAACCACATGGTAGCTCACAACCATCCATTATGAGATCTGGTGCCCTTTTCTGGTGTGCAGATATATACATGGAAGCAGCATGTTGTATACATAATAAATAAATAAAATCTTTTAAAAAAGAAAATACATAATTCATCTAAAATACTTGGTAATAGTAAATTTGTGTTGACAATAGCAACACTACTCTTTTTCCTCCTTACCTCCCTCAACATAAAACATGATGGTTGATTGCAAGGCAATTAGTCCACCATTGCCTGATCGTTCTCTTCCTTTACCTTTATATGGATTCTAGGGATCAATTTCAGGTACCCAGGATTGCAAAGCAAGAGACTTTACCCACTGAGCTGTCTCATTGGTCCTTGGCAAATATTTTAGTAATTTATCCCTTAATGAGAAAGCCGTCAGAAAAATGCTTCTGTGTGTGTTTGTGTGTTCTTGAAATTGAAGCCAGGGCCTAGAGCATGCTATGCAGGTGCCTTACCAGGGACTATGCCCCTAAGCCTAAAAAATTGATACAAACATACATACATATTTTATATTAAATTAAAAAATATATTAAATAATTAATTACAAATATTTTTAATTCTTCATGTAACCCAAATGTATTCTTTTTGCTTTTCATAAAGCTCTGAATGATAGAAAAGCTTTATAAGATAAAACAGGAATATCAGGAGAAACCGATTATCAAAATATAGAAAGATTAGAATATGCCCACATTCCCAAGAAGTTGGTTGGTGGTTTTGGTCATTCAATAGGTTATAGATGTTGATCATTGTTCAGGAGGATTGGATACAAGCTGTTATTGATAATGGTCAAAAGAGGGGGGATATAGATATGACAGGATAAAAATGGTAGACTAATGAATCTACTCTGAAAAGAAAAAAAGGGAGGAATTAGATATAAAAATAAAAAGGTAGATTATTTAAAAAAGGGAGGATATAGATATAAGATAAAAAGGAAGATTATTGAATCTATTTTTAAAAAGCAATTACTAGTTTTAAATATTTTACATTGGATTAGATTTTGTATATTGTATACCAATTCTGTATATTGATACAAATTTGAGATTAATTTGGTTAAAACAGACTGTACATATGTTTCTAATCTTGTTTAAAGTATTGTACCTATACAGCCGATTTAATTAATGCAAATTTCTAGTTCTTGAAAGTTATTATTACCAACTATATGGGGATAATAAGGGAATGTAGGTTAGTTTTTAGTCACCTATTACAATCAAACTTGTAGTCATATTAGGTATGTTATCAAAGTCAAACAGAGATATATTTTAGGTAGATAGGTCATCTTCAAACACTTCAGAGATCTACAGAATATAGCATTTAAGATGTTTTAATGACATAGTTTTTTTTTTATGACAATGAGACTTGTCTACTCCTAGCAGCACCAATCTACTTCAGAGAAGATGATGGGCATCGAAGAAACTCCACATGGAGTTTACTTTCTTTGTGGCAAAAGTTAGCCACTGGGCAAGAAAATGCCCTTGCCTCAACTGCTGACAGTATGCTGTCCAAAGTGGACAAACTGGACACAAAAGAGAGTGACTGCAAAACCTTGCCAAGACAAGGAAGGGCAAAAATGCTTCACAAGAAAAATCTGTTACATATGCTAGGGCTGTAGGCTGAAGAGGGATGCCCTAACATTGCAGAAGAACCTTGGCTGACTGTCCAGGCAGCTAGCTGCTTTTGTCATTTCTCACATTTTGGGAAAGTTGCTTGCCTGCACTTCCTGTTTACTCAGTATTATTTCCTTCCTGGGTCTCTGAGGGAGTTGAAGACTAGATAGTTATAGTTGTAGTTTTCCTTGTTTACCAGACTCACAAAGGAAACTCACTAAAGAAATGTAAAGTATATAAAGTTGAGGAACATAAAAAGTTAATTTGATAATGCAAATTAGAATAGAAAATAAATTAGGTACAAGACTTTGGACTCACCAAGATAGAATAGATAATGGAGTATTTTCTCTGAATTTGTCAAAGGAAAAATGGACTAGAAATTGTTGATGAACTTACTACCTATCTATGTTGGATGTACTTATTATATGTAGTTTGTCTTATGTTAGTTATAATATAGCCTTCTTTTTTGTATTAGACAAAAAGGGGAATTGTGGTGATACATTATTTATGATTTAATAAAGATTGCCTGACCTATCAGAAAGCAAAACCAGCCACACTAGTTAGAAGCTGAGCAGTGGTAGCATACACCACTAATCCCAGGACTCAGAAGACAGGCAGATGGATCTCTCTAAGTTCAAAGTCACCCTGGTCTACACAGTGAAGAGTAACAGAGCTCACACCTTTGATCCCAGCACTTGGGAGGTGGAGACAGGAGGATATGGAATAAAAGGAGGAAGAGACAGGAATTAAGAGCTTTTGCCTCTGAGGATTCCTGGAGACAGGGTTGCCATTTCATCTTGGTAGAGGTTTATCTACTGTCTTGGCTACTTTGTTTCTCTGACCTTCAGCTTGAAGCTTGAACCCAATATCTGACTATGAGTTTTTATTATTCATGTTACATATTTATTATTCATATTACATAAAGAAGAACAAAAAGAAGCCTAAGCCAGGAAAGACTAAGGTCTGGATGCAGATCTGATGCTGAGAAAGGGGAGTGGGAAGGAAGCTGAGGTAGGAAGAGCCTCAGGCAGCAGGGCAGAAGCACAGGATACACTAACAGGAAGCCTGAGAATTCAGATCTGATGGGGAGGCAAGTTCCACCTGCTAGTTTTCTTCATTGATGGTTGTATTTCCTGCCTAAAACCTAGAAGGGGGTGTGACTGTCATCCTCATCCCACAGGGGAAGAATCTAAGGCTAGTTAAATACTGTGCCCCAAATCAATCAGAGACAAGATTAGGGCCTGCCCAATAGGTATTGATAGACAACACTTGGACCATGGATTCTAAAGCTTATGCCTGTGTTTCCAGTTTTTTAATCACATGAAAGGTCCTCAATTTCCCCTTGTTATTGATAAGGCCAGGACCTAAAACAAGGCAGTGAGGTGGGCATC